TGTTCAGTAAGTTGCTTTAGTCCTTCACAGGTGCAAGTGAGAGGATCGTGGTAGGAGGCTGGTTCATCCCAAAGTGCCTTTATCTTGGTGTAATAGGCAGAAACAGACTGTTGTCCTTGTCGGTGTTTGACGATTTCTTGTCGAATCTGGTAAATCCTAGAGTCATTACCTTGTGAAAACCTGTCTTTGAGATCATTCCCAACGACAGCTGTCGTGTCGGTATAGAGAATATTGCCAGTAATGTCCGAGTGGACTGAATTCACGATCCAAAGCAACACCATGTCATTGCATCGCTTCCAAGTAGCGTATTTTACCTCTGTGAGTTTTGGGGTTGTGATGGATCCATCGATCATCCCAATCTTATTCTTTGCGCTAAGACCAATGCGCATGGTACGACTCCATTGTCTATAATTATGTCTGTCAAAAGGTTTTGAGACCAAGATGAGTCCCAAATTATCCAAGTGGTGCAAAGTGAGCGGGTCTGAGATGTCGATTGACACCTCTGTGAATTTCGTCTCACTTTCACCCATCTGGTTTTGTTTGCAACGGAAGGTGTGGTTGGGTTCCTAGAGGCACCAAGATCGGTGCTCTGATACCATGTGAAAATTGTAAGGGAAGTGGAGTTTGCAAATGAATAATTTCTTGTGTAATTGACTTGATCTTGAATCATGCAATGATACATGGCTTTATACAGTAAAGGGAATGCTACTCTAGGTAAATACATCCTGATTGTTTGCCAATTACATTACGATCCTAATTACCCTAAATGAATAGTTGACTTATTTTCTTTCCTTTAACAGAGAGGGTGGTGTGGACAAGCTCTTGATCAGGTTGGTCGTCAATGGTTTTAAGGATGGAACGAATCTATGTGATGTCAGAGACACCGTGTTGCATGGCAGCGAGGACTTTGGGGTCAGAGAGGTGAGGCATCTGAGTTAAGGATGGGGGTCTCACTACTACAAAAGTGGCTTATTGTGTCGGTGGTTGGTGTCGGTTTTATATAATTGTAGACATCAAAATTTTGGTAAATAAATGTTGACCGATAAATCAAAGTTTCAACGCTCATGTATTACATAAATTTTACACGTAGCGTGTGTCTAAACAAAAAATCGAAATAAGTTAGAAAAGTCATCAAACAGGACACGTGTCAACACCTGGCAGAAACGACTTATTTCATCTGGAATATTATATTCAAAATTAGGCCTTGGAAATTTCTATAAATAGAAGGCTAATTCATTCATTTGAGGGAGAACCAATTCATATTACACATTGAAGCTCTGAAGCTCTGAAACTCCGAAGCTCTTAAGCATCCAGGTTCCCGAAGAATCAAGAAAGCCTTCTTCATTCTTCGTTCATCGTTCTTCCAAGATCAAGCCCCAACGGCCCTTTGGATCAACAATCATCCACCAATTCAAGATCAAGCCCCGACGGCCCTTGAAGAAAGTGTTCTTCGTTCTTCGTTCATCGTTCTTCCAAGATCAAGCCCCAACGACCCTTGGATCAACCATTCACCAATTCAAGATCAAGCCCCGACGACCCTTGAAGAAAGCACCATCGTTCATCATCCGTTCATCCAAGATCAAGCCCCAACGGCCCTTTGGATCAACAACGTCGACAAATCCACACATCCAACCGTTCTTCAAGATCAAGCCCAAAAGCCCTTGAAGATCCGTTCATCACCATTATTCAAGATCAAGCCTCAACGGCCCTTGAAGAAACACTCATCCTCAAGATCAAGCCCCACGACTCCTTGAAGATCCGCTCAAATCCACCTTCAAAGATCAAGCCCACGGCCCCTTAAAGAAACTTCCAACAGTTCATCCAAGATCAAGCCTCGACGGCCCTTGGATCAACGAAACATCCACAAATCAATACCTTACGGAGATCGAATCAGAGGATCAAAATAGAGAGAGATTGTAACCCAAAATCATCAAATACAAATATTATTTTGTGCACGCTGTTCTTGTCTCTTTCATTTCAGGAATTTTCCGTGTTCACAAATTGGCACGCCCAGTGGGACAATCTCTACCTCTCATCTCTTTCTCCGTTCAAGGAATCCAAACACACCTCAAAGTCAATGGCATCAAGCAAGGGACAAGCCCTTCTCGCAACCACTGAAGGAATGATCCTAAGCACTTCTGCCGCAAACGGACAATCCATTGGCACCACAACCACTCCTCAACATGCCACTTCAAAGTTGGTGCCGCTAAAAGAGCAAGGGAAGCATCAAAGATGTGAGTCTGTCATCAACCTGACCTCGCTGGGGGCACCGAAGCATGCTGCTGAGGCACACAAGATGACATCCCAAAACAGCCAACGACGTTCTTCGTCAGCATCTTGGATGTCTAAAGGAAAGTCACGTCTATTGGTTATACAAGTCATGACCATCGGCGTTACCTCCATCGAAGAACAACTGGCTCAAATGAATGAAGCAATCGCAAGGCTAACCCGAACTGTGGAAGAAAAAGACTTGCAAATTGCAGCATTAATTAACCGATTGGAGGCACATGACGGCGAGAAACCCGACCCAGAAGATGAGCCTACGGTGGAGAGAATCGATGCGAAGCCGGAGCCAGACCAAGCAGCGGCACTCATGGGATCTCTTTCTATCCAACAGCTGCAAGAGATGATCACCAACACCATCAAGGCACAGTACGAAGGGAGCTCAAATACATCTGGGTTGTACTCGAAGCCGTATTCAAAGAAGATCAACGCCTTAAGGATACCGAAGGGTTATCAACCGCCAAAGTTCATGCAATTTGATGGAAAGGGAAACCCGAAACAGCACGTTGCCCACTTTGTTGAAACTTGCAACAATGCAGGGACCGAAGAGGACTACCTCGCCAAGCAGTTTGTGTGCTCGCTGAAAGGAAACGCCTTTGAGTGGTACACAGACCTAGAGCCTGAGTCCATCAACAGTTGGGAGCAATTAGAGCGGGAATTTTTCAACCGCTTTTATAGCACCCGCCGCACTTTGAGCATGCTAGAGCTAACGAGCACAAAGTAGTGGAAGGACGAGCCAGTCATTGACTACATCAACAGATGGCGCACTCTAAGCCTCGACTGTAAAGACAGGCTCTCAGAAACCTCTTCAATCGAGATGTGCATCCAAGGTATGCAATGGGGTTTGCAATACATCCTTCAAGGCATTAAACCACGGACCTTCGAGGAATTGGCCACCCGCGCCCATGACATGGAGTTGAGCATCGCCCATCATGGGAAGAAAGAACCGATCGCCGACTACAAGAACGACAAAGTTCTTGAGACAAAGATGGAGAAGGCTACGTGGAAACCCACCAAGAAAGCGATGACGGTCAACACATCTCCCGTCAAAATCTCTACACGAGGCAAGGCGATTCAAGTCGAAGCTTTTCGTGATCAAGAGATGCGTAGACGCACTTTGAAGGAGCTTGAGGAGAAGACTTATCCATTCCCCGACTCTGATGTGGTTGCCATGCTGGATGACCTGTTGGACAAGAAGGTGATCGGTTTACCTGAGTGCAGACGGCCGGAAGAGATGAATCGTACCGACAGTCCAAGATACTGTAAATTCCACCGCTTCATCAGTCATCCGACAGAAAAATGCTTCGTGCTGAAAGATCTCATCATGAAGCTGGCTCAGAAAGGAATCATCGAGCTAGATCTTGACGATGTGGTGAAGTCAAATTAGACCACCATCACTTATGACTCTGTCAACTCAAAATCTTCACCTCAATCGTTAGGGGCATGCTCCAAAACCATGCCAGTCAAGCAAAGCAAAGTTGAAGAATGGACTCAAGTCACTCCTAAGAAATTACCCAAGAAGCATACGTCTCCTCCACAAGTTCGCCAATCGGAAAGGGGGCAAAGCAGCTCTTGTCAACCTTCAAAGAAATGTGAACGTGTTAAAGATGATGAAATTGTGACACAAAGATCGTCCATTGCCATCACAATGCGTGATTTCTTTCCCGAAGACTTCTTCAATCACTCGGTCAAGGTTCCTTGCTATGAAGATTGTGAGGAACGCCTCTCCAAAATTGCTTGACAAAATTCACAAACTCTCCTCGCCCGCACGAGTCTAAACTGCATGGCACAAAGCTCCTGGTCTGCACAAGCATAAAAGGCAAAACCAAACACTCCTTGCCTGCACGAGTCTAAACTGCATGGCACAACGCTCCTGGTCTGCACGAGCATAAAAGGCAACACCAAATGCTCATTGTCTGCACGAGTTGAAACTGCAAACGACACCAACACTCCTTGCCTGCATGAATTAAAACTGCGTACGGCACAAAAAATCCATTGCTCATTTGAGCTACGTTTTGACTTGATCTCTTTCTTTGGAAGGGTACGTAGGTAGCTTGAATATTCAATTTCAAGTTCAGTCACATCAAAATAAAAAATAATAATAAGTGTTTTATTAAATAGAGTCAATTTTATTACAAAAAAAAATGAATACATATGTTATTATGTATTTACAAAAACAAAAAAAAACAAAAAAAAAAAAGAAAGGAAAAAAAAAGGAATATACAAGTATTTTATATATATATATGTGTGTGTGTGTGTGTGTGTATATATATGCATATACATAACTACCAAAAGCCCAAGCCCAGTTCTTGGACCTACAGCCTTCATTTCCTGTAAAGTCCAGGCCCAAGTAAACTCCGTTCCATCGACTGCAGGGCACCGCCCTCTGGACCATCTTCCCCCTCTCTGTAATCAACATCCCTGCTCTCCGCCGTTTGAAAAAAAAAAAAACCGTTGTTGAGAAGCAACTGCAACCATGGCGTGCTACAACAAGGTTGCCCCGAGCCCTCTGCTAAAAGCCCAGTGCCGTCATCAATTCCTCATCATCTCTGTCTCTTTGTCTTCATCAAAGGCAGCAACGATTTGATTAACTCGGGCGACACTCACAAATCAGCTCGTCCAGACAGTCGTGGAGCTTAAATTGCAGAACAAATTCCTCAAATCTCAGTTCGAATGATTCTAGAATCTTCAACTGCCAAAGCACGGAAGCAATAACAATGGGATCTCGAGCAGGAGAATGGCGACTGGGAAGTTCCTGGACCTCGAAGGCGGGCAAAGGCGGTGGAGCTCGCATAAGAGAAGAAGTCTGGGAAGATGAGTCAGTGCTCTGCTGTATGCGGGAGTTGCTAGATTTTTTTTCAATAGTGGCAGCAGTGGAGGGCATAAACCAAATAGTGACCGGAGAATTGGTGTCTCTCTCAGAACAAGAGCTTGTCGACTGTGACACGTCCTACAACGCCGGATGCAATGGCGGTCTCATGGACTACGCCTTCGAGTTCATTATCCTAAAACGGCGGCATTGACACTGAATCCGACTATTTAATCTGTTGATGTTGACTAGCACCGAAACCAGGCAGGAGCAGATGACGGCGGTGCGGAAAGAGAAGTTATTAGCTATGGTGCGCACACCCACACCCCACACGCGAACCGGGTCCAATGGAATGACTCCGTTTCGATCTACACCAGGCCCAAGCCCAGTCTCTCCACCGCCTCACACACCGTCAAACACGGTGGTGTCTCCGACCTTGTCTATTCAAAGCTCAGAATTGCCAGAAAACCCAATTGGCCTGTCCCATCCGGCGCCAGCCACGACATGCTTAACTACCAAGGCAATCAGCACCACCGCCACTGCCACCACCTCGACTGGAAATTGCAACAATGGTAGTAGTGTATTCGCACCTTCCTCCGCTTCAGCGTTGATGACACAGCCACCCCAAGCATCGTCACCGTCCTCATTCACCAATCAAGTATCCACATTGGGCACCCTGGATGGCTCTACCACAACCTCCGCCATTAATGAACCCACATCACTCTCGCCCTCTCCTTCTACCTATCAGCAGACAACAGCAGCCTAGCAAGCGGCGGTGCAGTTTTTTTCTACTCTGCCCTCCTCCACCCCAAAAACCCCAAAAAAAATAATAATAAAAATTTCGGTTTTCCGTTCGGTTACTCTGTCGCGCCCGGTTCGGATCCCGGACGATTTATCCCAAAAAATCTCAGAAAAAAAACCAAAAAATCAGCCAGAGTTTCACTTCCGGTCCTTGGGTTTTTCTAAATTTTTAGTTTCGATCCTTTGAGTTTGCAGAAAAATCTTCCCAACAAAAAGAGGAAATTTTGAAGTGAGGGTTTTTTGATTTTGGTGTGACATGACTCAGATTCAAGTTCAGCACCAGCAGCAGCCTCCTGCGAGTGGCCCGAACGTTGTGGCGGCGAACGTCGGCGGTGGCGCCCCTCAGTTTGTTTCGACGTCGCTGTACGTTGGGGATCTCGACCAGAATGTAACCGACTCGCAGCTGTACGATCTGTTCAACCAGGTCGGTCAGGTCGTGTCGGTGAGGGTCTGCAAGGACTTGAGCACTCGCCGATCTCTGGGCTATGGTTACGTCAACTATAGCGCTCTTCAGGATGCTGCGAGGGCACTGGAAGTTCTGAACTTCACTCCACTAAAGCCCATGAACAAAGCCAAAAGATCACCATCTCCTCCACCATCGAGGTTGTCCCTGCCTTGCCTCCGCTCAGTTCGAGGGTCTTGGGTTCGAGTTTGTCCTTCTTTGCCTCGCTGCTGTGCCGTGGGACTTGGATTGCATCCCTCTCCTCCTCGACGCTATGCACTACCTCCTCCTTCTTCCGTCTCTCGGACTCGGCCTGGGTTTTCACCCACGAACCCAGCTTGCAGAGAGCACCATATATAAAAAATAAATAAAAAATAAAAAAGAGAATAAACTTACAAGGGTTTCGGTGCATCAGGCACCATACAAAAGAAACAATAAAAAAATAAAAATATATTAAAATTATATATATATATATATATATATATGGATGGTGCATCAGGCACCATACAAAAGAAACAATAAATAAATAAATAAATAAATATTAAAATAAATATATATATATATATATATATATATATATATATATATATATATATATATATATATATATGGATGGTGCATCAGGCACCATGTGCCAAAAAAAAAAGAAAAAAAAAAGGGAATGGTGGATCAGTCCATGTGAAAAATTAATATGTATGTATGTGTGTGTGTGTGCATAATATATGTATGTTTACAGCAAACAAAAAAAAAAAAAAAAAAAAACAAATGCATTGAGAGAAATAAAGTCCGTTTTTATTTATTTTTTCTGGAAATTTTACATAAATTTGCATTATACATACTTAAAAAAAAAAAATCAAATCAAATTTACAAGAGGGGATCTTCAAGGACGATCAGGTGCCACCTCACCACTCGGCAGAGCTCCAGAAATGAGAGGCGCCGAAGGTTGACTGTTTGAAGCCACACCACTCGGCGGAACTCCAGGAAGAAGAGGAGCCAAATGTTGATCATTTAGAGCTTCATTACGCGATACAGCCCCAGAAAACGAAGGCAAATGTTGTTGGAACAAACCCACAAACCTCTAATGATCAAGTAAAATCTGACCATCAGAGTCCTGCATCTGGTCAATCTTCCTCTTCATGTTTGTCGCATAGCTATGTGCGAGCTTATGCAACTGTTTATTCTCCTGCTTGAGCCCTTTAATCTCCTGTTTGAGACTCATCACTTCAGCCGCTAATGATTCAACTTGACGGGTTCGAGCAAATAGACGTTGGGCCATATTAGACACAGAACCTGCACACTGCACACTGAGAGCCAGAGAATCCTTAACAGCCAACTCATCAGACCGTTTGGAAAGTAGTCTGTTATCTTTGGGAGTGACAAGGTTCCTGGCCACCACCGCAGCGGTCATATCATTCTTCATCATCGAATCCCCAACGGTAAGAGGACCAGTAGGGGATATGAAAGATGGGCGCCATATGTTGTCTGGAGAAGGCGGGACTGCCTCTTCACTAAGATTCAAATCAAAACGACGGTCGGAGGGTCCAGACATTTTCAAAGGTGTTGAAAAAATAAGAAGTCGGACAAAATCAAGATCTTAGAAGTGCACAAAGGGAGTTTCTACAAGCGAAAATTCAAGTGAGCTTTGAAACGAACTGCGTGCCTCTATAAAAAATCAACACTCGACGGGATTTCAGAGATCGAAGAGGCGATCTCAGAATTCGAAGAGGCCAATTCAAAAATCGAAGAGGCAAGACTCAGAAATCGGAGAAGCATCTTGCTTTTCCAAACACGTCAGCACCCGTCACGCGCAAATTCAGCTTTGCGGAAATCACGGGCAAGTTGTCGAAGCGCCGATCCCAGATATCGAAGAGGCGCCAGTCTTTTTCAGCCTCGTCAGCACCCGTCACGCGCAAACTCAGCTTTACGGAAATCATGGGCAATTTGTCGAAGCGCCAATCCCAGATATCGAAGAGGCGCCAGTCTTTTTCAGCCTCGTCAAAACCTGTCATATGCACACTCAGCTTGACGAAAATTACGGACAATTTGTCGAAGATTTCTGATAAAGAAGAAAGCACGTGAAGCCATACTGATCAATCACGCATTGGTTGCCGACACGAGTAAAAGAATAGTACCTCTACAGGTACTAAAGAATTTCCTATAACTGTCCACCTTCACCCTCCATAGCAAGGTAGACATACATAACCTTTCTTCATCTCCGAGAATGCCTTCCCAACAAAGCCTCTCGAGTCACTCAGTGTTTCTTATTCCTTGGGGTATCTCTGCAAACAAATGACACCAAAGCAAAAGTATCTCATATCACCAGGGTAGAAAGCAAGAGTATCTCATATCATGCGTTCTCCCTGTCCTTTCCTTTGTCCTTGTTCTTACCTACAAAGACAAGGATAAAGAAAACAATATGCCGGAACCTCCACTCAAACTCCGATGCCACATTTGCCTGGAGAACATATAAGGCAAGTGAAAATGATACCTTGCAGCATGTGGAGACAACGTGCAGAAGAAACAAGCAGAGAAGAATGCAGTCTTCACAGTCAGCTCAGCAGAAGGAGTCCGAGCTGAGGAACTCAAGAAGCTGCCACATCTGCCTGAAGAAACAAGCAGAGAAGAATGCAGCCTGCACAGTCAGCTCAGCAGAAGGAGTCTGAGCTGAAGAACTCGAGAATATGCTACATTCTGCCAGAAGAATAGATAAGACAAGGGAAAATGATACATTGAAGCATGTGGAGACAAGCACAACAAAGCACGTGCCGATTCATCCGTTACTTCTTCAAAATCAAAAGTATCTCATATCATCAGGTTTGCAATCACTCTGGGTGGAGGACTCGTTTTGACCCTCAAATTCTTGGGTCGACTTGCTAGGCGTTGTGGGCTGCATGTGCTGTTTCACCACCCTTGGATCAAATCCTTAAAGATCAAGTCACCAACTGGAAAAAGAACCCATCAATCTTGAAGATCATACCGTTGACCAAACTACTCAGGTGTGAATTAGAAAGATTGAACAAAGCAACAAGCCGTCACCTTCACCTCGTGCCTGCTTGCCATGTGTTCGAGTCAACCTTCAAGAATCAAGCCTCAACGGCCTTTGAAGAAGTTTCCGGCCAAATTCAAGATCAAGCCTCGATGGCCCTTGAGGAAATCACAAGTCCGATTCAAGATCAAGCGTCCACCATATTTGAATCAAATCCAGTTCAAGAATAAGCTGTGGAAAATCAACAATTGGAGGAATCCAGAAAATCCTCCAACCCAGTTCAAGATCAAAGCTGTGGAAAGTCAACAAGCGCAACAAAATACGTGCCGATTCATCCACTACCAAAGCCAAAGATCATCTACCACATGAAACTCCTTGTGGTCCAATTTCAACCTTCAAGATCAAGCCTCAACAGCCCTTGAAGAAATCTCCAACCCAATTCAAGATCAAGCCTCAACGGCCCTTGAAGAAATCTCCAGCCCAATTCAAGATCAAGCCTCGACGGCCCTTGGATCGACATCTACATTAAGGGACTTCAAAACGCATCTCCTACACGTGACAAGCACATGTATACGACGCGCCTTGAAGTGGGGGCATTTGTAGACATCGAAATTTCGGTAAATAAATGTTGACCGATAAATCAAAGTTTCAACGCTCATGTATTACATAAATTTTACACGTAGCGTGTGTCTAAACAAAAAATCGAAATAAGTTAGAAAAGTCATCAAACTGGACACGTGTCAACACCTGGCAGAAACGACTTATTTCATCTGGAATATTATATTCAAAATTAGGCCTTGGAAATTTCTATAAATAGAAGGCTAATTCATTCATTTGAGGGGGGAACCAATTCATATTACACCTTGAAGCTCTGAAGCTCTGAAACTCCGAAGCTCTCAAGCATCCAGGTTCCCGAAGAATCAAGAAAGCCTTCTTCATTCTTCGTTCATCGTTCTTCCAAGATCAAGCCCCAACGGCCCTTTGGATCAACAATCATCCACCAATTCAAGATCAAGCCCCGACGGCCCTTGAAGAAAGTGTTCTTCGTTCTTCGTTCATCGTTCTTCCAAGATCAAGCCCCAACGACCCTTTGGATCAACAATCATCCACCAATTCAAGATCAAGCCCCGACGGCCCTTGAAGAAAGTGTTCTTCGTTCCTCGTTCATCGTTCTTCCAAGATCAAGCCCCGACGGCCCTTGGATCAACCATTCACCAATTCAAGATCAAGCCCCGACGACCCTTGAAGAAAGCACCATCGTTCATCATCCGTTCATCCAAGATCAAGCCCCAACGGCCCTTTGGATCAACAACGTCGACAAATCCACACATCCAACCGTTCTTCAAGATCAAGCCCAAAAGCCCTTGAAGATCCGTTCATCACCATTATTCAAGATCAAGCCTCAACGGCCCTTGAAGAAACACTCATCCTCAAGATCAAGCCCCACGACTCCTTGAAGATCCGCTCAAATCCACCTTCAAAGATCAAGCCCACGGCCCCTTAAAGAAACTTCCAACAGTTCATCCAAGATCAAGCCTCGACGGCCCTTGGATCAACGAAACATCCACAAATCAATACCTTACGGAGATCGAATCAGAGGATCAAAATAGAGAGAGATTGTAACCCAAAATCATCAAATACAAATATTATTTTGTGCACGTTGTTCTTGTCTCTTTCGTTTCAGGAATTTTCCGTGTTCACAATAATATACTAGCGGATAAGACACTTTCGACGCCCTTTTTACATGGTGTTGGAATTACTATTGGGTATAACCACATAAACTATCTATGTCGCTTATAACCAACATAGATTGTTAATGTCGCTTATAACCGACATAGCTTAATCTTTTTAAATGGTGGTGTCATATAAAAAGAAAATCGTATCGCTTTCAACCGACATAAAGTTAGTGTCGATTAAAAAAAAATCGTGTCGTTTCTACCTGACACTAATAATTATTTTTTATATATTTTAAAACCCGATGTCGGTTGTAGCCGACACTAATAATTATTTTAAAATATTTTAAAATCCGGTGTCGGCTGTAGCCAACACGTTGGTGTTCTTTATCCAATGCTCCGACAAGTCACCACAAAAAGACTTGGATTGCCAGCATGTCATTAACTCACAGCTGTTCATCGTTATAAAAAAATCAGAACCATTCCCTTATTTGAAACCAATCCAATTGGCCACCCCAAAAGCACTTGGATCACCAACGTGGCAAACCCCACTATAAAACACCACGCACCAAACCACTCCATATCAAAATTCAAATCCGAGCGCATCTCAGTTCCCAACAATTCGTTTTCCCTCCTAAACGAATCATTTTCATTTCCCAAAAAACTCAGAGAGAATGGAAGCCACGAAAGCTACCAAGGGC